ATATAAGAAGAATTGTTGCTGTTCATTGCAGTAGTCATAGGGTAGTAAAATATAACCTGTAATGATATTTAAAAGTTTGGAATTACTACGGAGCATGACCAGTTTTTACAGAGGATTACTACTGAATTAGAATGGCCATTATTGACTCAAATCTCTTAGAAAATATTTGGGATCTTCTGAAATGTTAAAAACAAGTTAATTTGGGACAATTGAAAGTTATAGCTGAACTTGATTTTTGCAAGTCGTAGTGAATAAAGGCATTTATGTGAATACAAAATGCATAACGTAAATCAGAACCAAAGTAACCTGTGTGTGTTTATGTGTTGTATGTGTCAAATTTTCATCTTCTTATAGGCTCATACACAGTTTATTAATTTCTTCTCTCTAGACACTTTAACAGTTGTAAAATGTATCATTAATAATCTCATAAAAAGTTATATTGTGCACAGTGCAGCTCATTGAAGAATTTGTACTGTATTCCAGCGCATAATACCATGTGGTGTCATCTTCAGGGAGTCCTTCCTTATAGAAATAATAAATTGAAATTCTAGTGTTAGTAATTCATGTATATCTTTATTTTGTTAACACAGTTTTAAAATATGGTGTGATGGTGCCCCTACTTCTGTAAAATACTACTTGAAAACTAAGTTTTCTGTTGTATATGCTTTATAAGAATAGCATAAATCATTTGCTTATACCAAATATATTTAAAATGTGCTTAATTTAAAATATAGTACTGTATACCATATTACTTTTTAATTTAAATACTATTTCTCTTAAGGAACCTTTAAATTCTGAAGATGATGTTAGTGATGATGATACATCAGAAGTATTTGAAACAGATAATGTTGTTGTATGCCAATATGATAAGGTAAGCAGTTATAGTCTAAAGACTTAGTCTGAATCTAGGACAGCTTGATGCAGTAATAACTTTTTTATAATTTTTGTACTCATGCTGTTACAAATTCATAGATATCTTTTAAAATATATTGTGTTAATTACCCATATTTTAAGAGAAAGTAAGGTCATATCAAGTGAAAACAAATTAGCTTTATTATCAGCAATGTTTGAACTTTTTTTTATTAATAAACCCTATATTAAAGTGGGTTTAGACAGACTTAAAAGGACAACACTTATTGCTCTGCAACATCACGTAGTGAGCTGTGACAAAGGGAACCATTTGAAGTCAAGATACCATGAAGAATGGAGCTCTTAGGATTATTCAGAGGAACGCTTATTAAAAGCATCACTGTTAGTATGAAACTTTTGAGTCTGCTTTCTGTCGGTAATGTACCAAAGAAATGGAAAAACCCACTGAACCTACTAATTTGGAGCATTTGTACAGCCACCCAAAATTAGTTGCTTTTTGTTACATGTAAATTTTGAAATATGTTGAGAAATTAAGTAACATATTTGGTAATAAGTCCATTATACATAATTTTAATGAGAGTACAGAGCTCTATGTTATTCAAAACATTCATGGAGAAATCCAAGTTACTGGATTATACAGAAGTGGTACAAGCCATGAACCATTCATTACTACCCTGACTATAAGGCCTCTTCTTTTTTTTTGGTGCCTTGATCATCCAGATTGTGGTCAATAAAAATAGATTACCACTGTATAGAAAACAAATTTTGCTATTAATTCCTTGCATCAAATGAAAGAGCGTGGGTTTGATATTGACTTAGTTAAAGTTTTGTATATAACAGTGTTGTCTCAGCCATTAAAAATGGTGATGCAGTGTCATGGTGTGTACCCACTCTAGCTGGTATGGACTTGGTCTATCTTTAATTTTTAAAAGTGCTTTGAAAGCCTTGTTTTATGACATGTCCAGTAGGGATTTGAAAGAAATGATATTCAGAAACTACTACGATCAGAGTTTTGACCTAAGTCCAGCTCAACTACTCTACAGTCTTATGGTAATGTCTTTTTAGGAACATACCCTGAAATGTTGCTACCCTTAGAATTGTTTCGAAGTAGAAGTTGGTCTTCATTTTACTAGATGTGTATCAAGAGTTGGTGACAAATATTAATATCAGTGTTGCTATTAAAATTGGACCCCAGCAGCAAAACATATTACCCCATTCAGTTCTAATAATTTCTATTGATGTTATATATATTTATAAATTTTAACTTTTCATGTAACCATAATTAAACTTGGATAAAGTTAAAAAAAATGTGTAAATAACTAGTTTCGTGAATATTTGTTTACCTTTTTCACATTTATTTTGAAATTTTAAATCTCAAAAAAATATATATATTTTGTTTTGTTTTACTTCACAGTTAAGCTAGCATAAGTTTATCAGGTCTAAAAATTGATCTTTTCCTTCTATTACAGCATCATTCATTTTTAAGAGTTTAGATTGTAATGCAAACCCCAATTTTCATACACCATCTAGTTTCCACATTAGATCAACTTTCAGAACAAAGTAATAAGAAGTGTGGTTGCTGCTTCTCCTTATAACGCAGTATTTTTCCAGTCTGATAAGAAATATAAAAGATTTATTTACTGCAGCGTATTATTTACAAATTAAACAAATAAGTAGAAACAGTTATTTGGTTTTGAAGTCAAAAAGAAAAATGCAACAAGTTGTCTTAAATGTAACTTTCTTTTGTCTAGTAAATAGAGGATTTGAGGAATAAATGTATTTATCTTGTTACACCTTTATCTCTGGGTTTCTTATGAGTGATGTATAAAATGTTTTAATCTCTCTCTAACTTTCTTTTTTATTATTATTATTAAAATAAGCCTATGCCATTTCTGTTAACAGAGTAATAAGTGTCTTGTTTTATGATGCTTTACCCAACTACAGAAATAAGAATAATTTAGGATACAAGTAATTGTATGGTATAAAATGCACTTGAGTTAGGAAATGTTATGCTAATATTTTATGGTTTATAAAAAAGAAATATTATAAGGATGATATCAGTAACAGTTAGGTTAATATGTACACTTAATGTTTAATAGCATATTTTAACCAGGATTCAATTTTAAGGTCACTGAAACCTATTTTGGTCATACATCATAGATGTATAAGGTGTAACATCTTCAAGGGTTTTTAATTTTATGTTAATTTCAACCCAATAAGTTTCTTAATCATTAGGTATTGTGATTGTAACCACAAATAAGTTAACAGTAGTTAGTTTTTATTTTAAAAAAATTAACTAAATTCATAGTTTGTGTAAATTTTATAAAAAAATTTTTCTTTTGAAGGAAGTGTTCAAATTTTTGAGTTAATATTTTTAGATGTCATAGCTTATAATTCTTATTATGATTATTTTGGTTAGATATCTCGGAGCAGAAATAGATGGAAGTTTCACTTCAAGGATGGAATAATGAACCTTTCTGGTAAAGATTATGTGTTCCAGAAAGCCCTTGGAGATGCTGAGTGGTAAATAAAAGAAACAAACTAAGAGCAAAATCCGCAAATCTAAATAAATCAGGTGGTCAGTGATAAAGGATGAATAGAAAAATTTTCAAGTGTGCCAAGCCTTGGGCTTGAAGTATTCACTGGAGACTCAAACCTGATTCTTCAAGATCTTAGTTTGATAGCTCAGAGTAACACGGTGACAGACTGTTACATCATTACAATCTGTTTAGCTTATTTTCTGTCACAAAAATTACATTTTTTGTTGGGGACCTTGAGGGAAATGAACCCAAAAAAAGGTGTGATTCTATCATGACAATGCGAATATATTTTGTTCTTAGTACCCTTGTGAGAATTGAACTCAACAGAACTGTGATTCTTTCATGACAGTGTGATTGGCTGAGCAACAGCAACTCTCTTCAGATATATTTCTGTTTCTAATATTATTTACATTTAGTGTTTCAAGTTTATGTCCAAAGTGTCAGTATCCACGTTCTGTAATTTTTTATGGTGTACATAAAGCTTCATATCACAATGTTTTTGATTTATCCCTCTCTTTGGTTCTTTCAAGCTAAAGATTGAAATAAAAAAAACCAGTGTATAATATAATGACAGTATTTATCTTTCTTTTGTTATTCTCATCTTAAAAACCTGTTCTTTTTAAAATAAAAATTTTCCATCTTTTATTTACTGTATATTTTAAACATGGGCATTTTGTAAGATAACTGTATGCCCAGGGCACATATATTCTTTGTTTCCTCATATGTTGCATGTTATAATGTAACACCAATTCAAATTTTTATATTAAATTCATTTGCACTAGTGTTATTTTAATATCTCAAAAATTTACTAAGTTTAACATAATATAGGAAAACAAAAGTAGCAAAATCTCAAAAATCCTCTGAGATTTGTTATTATACTGGCTTGTAACGAAACCAAAAATGTAGAGGGTCAAAATATGCATTTTTCTGTTAAGATTGTTCCCTTTATCAGTTGATAAGGGAAGTAAAATTGTTCTTATTTATATAAAAGCTAAGAAATTCCACTGTTGTATACAACCCTAGTAGTTTTTATGACTTGGGTTTAAGCCCATTATAACAAGTCTACATTATTATATATTATTGAGAAAATTCTCCATTAATTTCTCTTCTTATTTTGAACCTTGCATTTTTTTCATTGAGTACTAAGAAATGCACAGTAATTGGTTTAATATCTGTTGCTATAACTTTTCCCAATTTGTATGTTTTAATATCAGTAATGTTTATTTGCTACTAGAGTGTCAACTTGATATTTAAATTCTAACTTAGTTTATATTGTCAATTTTCATGTGTTTATATTATTAGTCAAAACTTATTTTTGAAGAAATCAACAACCCTATTGGTTTCAGATTAATTCCCTTAATGATGTTATAATAAAGAAATCAACACAAAGAAACCCATCTCATATATAAATGTACATATTCATATTGTATGTACAACTTTTTTATATCTTTTAAATTCCACTTACTCAAAAACATATAACAAGACTTTTTAACAGTTCACAACTTACTTAGCATATACTAGTATTAGATTAAATCATCTTTTGACATCATTCTTCCTTTGATTTTTGAAGTATGTCACTCAAATGTTACTACTTTATTGTTACAGATACAAACTATCATTTGAAGAAGGTTCATTGAAATTCATGACAGTCTTGGCAAGATCTGTGCATTGCTTAGTTATATCCATACACGTCTGATTTCCTTGCTTATATTGCTATAGACTAGTTTGATTCTTGTTAAGAAATTGATTAAAGGTACAGATTCAAGATAAAGTGTATAATGAAGTTAAAACAGGTACAAGTTAAACACCATATTCTGAACTATATATATATAAATTCCTACTTTACAGAAATATCTGTTGACAAAACATCACAAAGATATTTAGCACAGTGTTAGGAACTAACAGAATGAAGTAGTTAAACTGGGAATAGATTACAGAATTGAGTTTAATTTATGAAAGAAAAACTTTTAAAGTCTACATTGTTTATCTGTGTTGTAGAAATATTTGGTATATTATACAGTTTTTCATATGATGTTAAAATAAAAAATGCAACTTCAAACATACACTAAGCAACATTTGCTCACTTATAGTTTGTCATGAAATTAAGACTTTAACTGCAGTTAACTTCTTTGTAGAATTATTTGTTACAATTCATTCACTTTATTCTTTCATGATTACAGATTTAAAAAAAAATGAAGTGTCACCTTTTATTAAACTTGGTTTAGTACAACACTTTGACCTATGGAAGTTGCAGCTTTTATGATGATCGTTTATCTGTTTTGTAGTTTTTACAAACCACAATATAGAAGGCTAAAATGAAAAAGGTAGAAAACTAAGAATTATAAGTAAGAGAGGAGTTAAAAGAAAGTCATAAGAGAATTCTCCATCAGAAATGAGTGTATTATCTAAAGAAATCAAACCACAAGCCAATGAGTATGTTAATTGACACTGTTTCTACAACTACAATTGTCATCTAGAAAAGTACATACTTGAAACTGACTTCATGCAGAGACATGGATATGAGGATAACTAGCTTCAAATAATTTCACACTCAACGATAAGGAAATTTCCATGTTTTATATTACAATTACACAACTCACCAGAAGTTGGACCTCAAGTAACAACAAAGAAAGGTGTACACTGGCTAATGAAGACAGCCAATCTCGAGTGCAACAGAGCAGAATACAGAAGAACAGAAGGCTCAAGCCAAAAGTCATCTTTTGTAATTGCTTTTTGAATGATGTCTGTAAAAGGACAGCCAACTGATTTACTTCAGTGAATACTTCACATGTAATAAATCAACCTGCTAGAGAATACAGGGTTCCTGTTAAGACCAGTTACAGAGTATCACCAAGGGTATAGTTATCAGTGGATTCTTTTGATCATCTACCCATAAAGAATGCCCCCAGTGACCAGACAATAAGGGGCAAGAAGTCATCCCACCTTCATACCATAGAATGGTTTTTGGTTTGTTTTGAATTTCGTGCAAAGCTAGATGAAAGCGTTAGCCATCCCAATTTAACAATGAAAGACTAAAGGAAAGGCAGCTAGTCATCAACACCCACCACCAACTTTTGGGCTACTCAATTACCAACAAATAGTGGGATTGACCATCACATTATAATGCCCCCACTTTTGAAAGGGTGAGCATGTTTTGTGGGATGGGGATTTGAACCCTCAACCCTCAGATTGTGAGTAAAATGCCCTTTCTACCTGGCCAGGCTGGGTTCATACCATAGAGCACGGAAAACCACCAAAAGTGATTTGGTGAATGGACAGTTTAGGCATAGTAGATAAGATAACGATTTCATGGAATATTTTGTCTGTCATTGTCCATCCTGACTGATGGGCTGTGGTATTGAATGAAAAGTCTCTTGGGAGGCACAAGGTAAATTGGAAGTGTTATAGATGCAAACATATGTGCAACTGATTTTGAATACACAATGAACAACTTAAGAGGACTGTGGAAAAAACGTGGTTTTAACACAGATTTTATGCCTGTTGGTTTCTGGTGCTTTGCTAGGTTTAACCATAACACTATACCGCATATATAGCATTTCAGGGAATTTTTTGTCACTCCTTGTCCAGTCCAACTGGTGAGTACTGTTATTGAATGAAATGTCTCTTGAGCAGTGAGGTATGGTAAAAAAAAATGTAATCTGTTTTTACACATACCTCTGATTTAGAATCCACAATGGATAAATCATAAATGTAAAAAAAGAACGTCTGTAGCTTACTAATCTCTTTCTATGTACCATATTCAAACAGGACGTTAGTGACCATGGTCTTCCACAGATCTCCTTGAGGCACAAAAGGAAATCCAATGTCGGTGGATTCATCCATTTAGATAGACTGTTGTCATAAGCCAACCTTTGTGTTCCACAGTCTCTCCTTCCTTCAATCTTTCCAGTTACGACCAGACTTTCAATTTCTTTTTCCCTCCTAATGTGTCCTAGAAACTCCAACTGTCTCTTTCTGATGTTAGTCAGCAGCTTCCTCGTGCAACCTGCTCTTGACAAAATATCTTTAATTGAAGTGTAATTAGTCCAATATACCTTTAGAACTACAACTCAATTGCTTCAATTCTCTTTTTCATACTTGGTGATATTGTCCAACATTCTGATGTATACATGATAACTGGTATAACATAGCAATCCAAAACTCTTAACTTCATCTTCATACAAATTTTATTATTTGTCAGTATCTTTTTTTCATTTTCAGAAATGCGTCTTTTTGCCATCCTTATTTTCCATTTTATTTCATGATCACATTTACCATCTGATGTTACCCAGCTTCCCAGGTAATTAAATTTATTGACTTGCCTTATCTATTCCTTATCTACTTTGGCAATGCATACAGGAATGATCATCTTCTAAATTACCATGCATTCTGTTTTCCTTACATATACAAGTGTCAAATAGTTAGACTAATTAAGTAGATTAACTCGGAAAATAGGGAGGGTAATTATGAATGTGATAACCAAATTTTCCTAGATTGTGTGAAATAACATGATGTACAAATTTCGTAAAAATAAATTAAATTATTATTATGAAACAAAAAGAAAAGTCCCGGCATGGCCAGGTGGTTAGGACGCTCGACTTGCAATCTGCAGGTTCGCATCCCACCAAACATGCTCGCCTTTTCAGCCATGGGTGCGTTATAATGTGACGGTCAATCCCACAATTCGTTGGTAAAAGAGTTGGCGGTGCTCTAGTCTTACACTGCTAAATTAGGGACGGCTAGCGCAGATAGCCCTCGTGTACCTTTGCGCGAAATTCGAAACAAACAAACAATGTGTCTTGTATTTTTTGAGCGAAATTTGCAACGTCCCATTTTACGAAATAATGAATTTATTACAAGGCTAAAATTGTAGCTAAGATAACCTACAATTCGTGAAAGTGTATGATACACTGAAAAATGTTTTAATTTTTATAATACGTTGATAGTTCTGAAAAGTTTAATGAATTCGTATATTTTGTCTGCCTTTTACAGAGAGAAAACTTTTCATTGGCATGCTTTCCAAAAAGTGTAACGAGAACGACGTAAGAATTATGTTCTCGCCCTTTGGCTCCATAGAAGAATGCACGGTACTCAGGGACGCAAGCGGACAGAGTAAAGGTAAGCTTTCATTTTTTGTATTTCACGCGAGTTCTACAACTTTAAGCAGTATTCGTGTACCTTGGGGTTTGACTAATTTATAAATCTAAGTTCGGTAGTCGAGAATCGAAGGGTTTTCTCTTTAAAACGATACAACTTTAGAACTTAACGTGAGTTCAAAGATGATAATCAGAAGTGATCTCTCTTTGAAACGTTCATACAAAAGACGTATCCGATTTATAAATACAATTAACTCTCATCAGTACACCAGGGGTCCACATGGATCCCAATGATTTTCCTGGTTGTATATATTTTTACATAATCATTACAAATTTATACCCATTTACGTCCATGCATACTATCATTGATCATCATTATACGTGCAGCTCACCCTATAGCATAAGAAACATATTTCTAAACGTTTATTTCACTATATAAGTTGTCATAAAGGATAATCCATCAAAGTAGTATAATCTGGTCAGTTTGTTTGTAACATCATTATGGTAAGCATGTATACAGACCGTATTCCTCAACAAGTGTTCACTGTGATGATTGTTTGTAATGCCCTATTATATAGAAACCTCGTTTGATAATTATTGTAAATAACCTGCTTATCGGATTTTCAATCCATGGCCTACTATAAAGATACATTTGTGTTGGGATTTGGTTGGACCCAAGGTGACCCACAGTGTACACTCTCAGTTTTCTTTGAGTTGAATTTTGATGTATTGTAGTAATCTCATCATATATTGGTGGATAATGACTTTAAAACTGGAGTATAATAAAACTTTGGCATTTTTTTTGATACACCTTGTATAAGGAATGGTTTAATACTACTTATTTGTATACAATGTAATTTTGTAAACAATGTGAACAACATAAAAAATATATGTATTCTAGAGGAAATATGTTGACAAAATGCTAATCCTAATAAAACTTGTAATACAATTGGTTTTTGGAATTTCAATCCAGAGCTTACTATAATGGTAATTTTGTGCTGGGCTCCAGTTGGATCTCAGATGTTCCATAACGTAACTTTTCAAAGGTGTACTGATGAGGGTTAATTATATTCATTGGGAGAGAATCAGGGGTGCTATCTCTTTGAAACGTAACAACTTTGAAATGGAGATTGTGAAACCTGAGTCATGTAAGTGAAATTTCTCTGTAAACTTTTAAGCAGAAATAAAATATTAAAGTTATGACATTGCCTTTCATAAACGAGACGAGGTATCTAAGGTAAGAGATATTCATGCATCTTAGCTTGGTGACATAAGAAGTGATATAAGTACGTTGGAGAAAACAATCGTGGTTGTTACCCATTGTTACGTGGAAATAGAACATCCATTTGCTCTGAAATAAATTAGTTTCGTCCAAAAAAGTGAAGGTATAACATCTATGGCAGTAATATTTGTGTCATTCTATCCTCTAATTTCATGAAATATACTGCAGTTTTTGTGTTGGAGATTTTAATATAACCAATTAAGCAAATGGTTAATATAATGAGGTTTCATCGGTTAACTTTCTTGTTGATTAGACAGGTCTGGCTGATATTCTTTTGTCGAATTTAATGAATATATACACCATTAGAAGTAATTAATAATCATTTGTTGTGTGGACTTGCCAGCGATGGTTATCCTTAGCTTTCAAATTAATTATCACAAGCATGTAGTGGCATTTCTTATATTTTCCCTTGGTTAAATACACAGGTCAGTAGTGCTAATTCTCAGCATCCTTTAAGTTGGAGACATTGGTCAATAGCAGTAATCTTCAGCTTCTTAATGAATTAACTGAATATGCCATGCAGTAATGGTAGCTAATTATGTAGGCTTTTAGTTGTAATTTCTGACTTCTTGTCGAGATAACGACTGCTAACTAGTATAATAAATTATCGTACGAAGTTAGTTCTCTAGACCTGACTATAATAGCAATAATTTTGGACACTTTCTGAATTAAGTTATCAGGCAGTAAAAGCAATTTACAGATTACTATTGATACAAATGATTTGATAGGCCTGCAATTGCAGTTCTTGGCATCTGATTGAGATAACTGATAACAGAAGTCATCAGCTTCTTCATGAGGGCATTGATTACATAACAGTAGGGGTAATTTGTTTGCTTTTTATGTATAGGCTTTTTCTCACCACCAATAATGTAAAGTATTTAGATGTTTGGACAACACTGACATACTCATAGCCACACACCCCAATGAAAGAATAGACCATTCCAAGCTTTAACTTGTTGTTAAACAAATGTTTAAACAACTTCACTTATTCAATTATATATAAGCTGCCCAGTGTCAGATAACAATACGAAGAATTAAATTGTAGCGGATTTCTACAAGTTCTTCAAATACCTATAGAATGATAGGTTTCTTTTTGGTGAGTATAAAACACGTAAATACACCAGTTTGATTTACGTGACATACCATTACAAATAATTATCCAAAATTATTTTGTGTACTTGTTAATTTCATTTCTTCACGGAAACTAATTTTGGTGAAGTAGAGGGCTATTCAATTCTAAATAAATATGCTTTATTTTGTGTACATTTCACTACAATATGAGGCCTACTTTATTTGCTTCACTCGTACCAAGCAGCACTGATGATCTGCGAATTCGGCTGAACTAGTCTGCTGCAGCGGCAGTAGCAAGTCAGAGAATAGACTGAGCCTCTACTTCATCTTTTTTTTAACTGGAATTCACATTTTAGCGAACGAAAGAGATTAACAACCGAGTATGGGTAATCCTTGGTTTCTTCTTGAATGTAATGGTCACAGGACTATAGTGATAATTCTTGACTTATTTATAAGATAATTGAATACGTAGCAGTAGGAGTGATCTGTGGCCTCGACCTGAGATGGTTTGTGATATAGCAGTGTTGGTAATCTTTCGTTTCCCGAGCTAATGTTAATATTTAGCTTATTCCTAACTTGGTTTTTCTTGGGAATTTTTGGATATCTTTAGGTTCTCCTGATTTAATTGTTTACTAAGCAGTAGTAAACATCCTTGGCTACTCACCAAGTTAAGTGTTTATACTTCAGAATTTACATTTTTAAGTGTTGCCGTGTTTATGATTAATTTTTCCAAAAATTACTGCAAGATACACGGTTGTACAAGGTGAATAGAAATTTCTTAAGGCTATATGGAAATGCACTAAAATCAGTATGGTTGTTTTCATTAACTTCTCCTAACTAAGATTCTTCCAAATAAATTTTATCTTCGTACCAGTACTCAAGTTTATCCATTTCCATCTCGGTTGTGGTGTGCCCTCTAAAGACACTGTTTCATTACGATTACAATCCATAACAGTCTTTATAAGTTTCCATAACTTTTTTTATTATTATTATTTCGCTCACACCAGTCATTAGCAATAATTGAGCAGCTCATAAATTTCTGAGTAAAACAAAATCACATACTCATATTCTGAATGTCACGTGAGACTGAACAAGGTGCAAACTTACTTTAGTGTTATGTTTATAATTTATTACTTTTTACTTTATTTAAAATTTAATGGATTTTTTTTCAGAAATAATTATAACAATAAGAATTACGCGATATGTTATTTTTGCTGTAAACTTTAGTGGATAAATAATAAAGTGTACTATCAGAGGACAGTGAGGTAATCTGTAATTTCTGTAAGCTCATCAGGTAATAGTAATCTATGGATGTTATCCAGTGTTTTACCAGACCGGTAATGAAGGTTTATATCTCCATAATGTTTCAACATAATTATTTGTAATTTTTCACCACACTACTGCAATGTGTAGGTATATAGAATTTGGAACTTTTCATTTTTTATTCAGTATAAGAACTTGATTTATACTTGTAGTTTGTTGTACTTGATCATATATTGTGGTATGCATTCGTTGGTCCCTTGTAGAAACTATTTAAAGAATGTTCGTTGAAGTGCAGTTTTTTCGATTCGTTGTCGTCAGTTAATGTGTTTCGTAGCTGACCATGTTGCATAACGTTTTACAAGTAAATATCAGGTAATTTGTAAGGTCGATACTTTAAATTAATTACTCCTTTCTTTGCTAAAAAACAAAACCTGGAAGAATACAGAATTTAAAAACTTAGAATAGCGTTCTTTTGGTATAGAGTTTAATGAATATATATATATATATATATATATATTTTATAGGATAAAAATTCAGGGACTTTAAGAAACATGTAAAATTCTATAATGGTTCTTTTTCATTGCAAAATTTAATCTCCTACCTCCCCTTGGAGTTCTGTAAGTACTAGGGTGGTTTGTCAAAATATAGCAAAGTTTATTTTTGTTTACGAAGAAAACAAAAATTTGGGGTGATAACTTAGCACTGTAAGTTATAATTGATAGATTTTAGGATTCTGTTGAACGATAGATAAACGTGACTGAGCTGAAGAAAAAAATCGCATTTTACGTGATAAACCTGATGCAGACTCAATCTTGTGTTTGTCTTTCTTGTTTTTTTTATGAGTAGGCAGTGTTTCACTTTTTCGTACGTTATGTATTGTTTAAAAGTAATGCAATAGGATGAAAATTAATACCGTGTTTATCTGTTCTTATTTACAGTTTTGTAGGACACGCATATCCTAATCCAAAAAAAAATTAATTTGTTTTGTTTCTTAAATACTTTACTGTAAATCTACGTAAATTGTTTCAAAAGTCATCGTAAAAATTAGTATTAACGCGTCCGTTAGAAACTATGTTTGGGAATTTTTTTAATGTTATTATATGCTGACCTTTACAACCAGATCATTTTCTTAAAGCTCTAGAGTTTTTGAAGTAAAGAGAGAATAAATGTTTATGAGATATATTAAATCTACTTGTTTCTTATGTGTGCATCTTTAGACTGTAAGTGCTACTACTTTTCTTTACATGTAACATGGTTGTTAGGGAGCTCGACTCGCATGCTGCGGGTCAAAGGTTCGAATCCCCATCCCACCAAATATGCTCGCCTTTTCAACCGTGTGGGCGTTATAAGCTTCGGCCAATCCCAATATTCGTTGGTAAAAGAGTAGCCCAAGAGTTGGTGGTAGG